AAGCAAGAACAATCCAAAAGGATCCCTGTGATTCCAAGGGTTACACACACACGCCTCCCCGAAGGGAGGCATGTGGGACCTCCATCCTGCCCGGAAAGGAGGTGGGCACATGTGCACGCAAAAGGGACAGAAGAAAATGAAAAGGACGAGACAGACAAAGGTGTGTGTGGTTGCCGATGAAAAGGAACCAAGTGAAGAGGGGAAGGTGTTCCCAGCTACGAACAGTCGTCCAGGGACACACCAAAGAAAGAAAGGGGAGATCCTGAGTATTACATTCAGGAAAACCCCAGAAAGCAAAGAGGGAAAGGGGGAAGGGGGAGAAGGGGGCTAAGTTCCCCACAGGTTCCAATGAACCTTAAACTTGCTTTGACCGCTGTGGTCACCTTGTGCCCTGCCGAAATGGCTGGCTGCTTCGACCGCTGCGGTCACGTAAAGGCATGAGCCAACTTGGAATTCCAAAGATGAGACAAAAATCATCGGACGTACGGCCTAGGCCACCTTCGCCCGCTGTGGGCACTTACGTTTCCAAAGCAAGGGAAACAGCGACAAACCCCCGTTCAACGGGTCCACGGGAGGCACTCTGCGGGCTCATCCCGGACTCTCACTGGGAGAGACACACTTATGGATATGCGTACTGATGTGAATGCGGTGCCACACGCCGGCCTAAGAATCCAAATCCTGAAAGGTCCAGGACAATCCTAAAGGGCCTGGGGGTCTTCAAAAGGAAGTGGGGCCAAACGCGCAAGTCGAAGTCGAAACGACAGGGTGGCGACGGCCGCTCACATCTGCAGATGCACTAGCACTTTACAAAAGAAAAGGAAGAAAGGTGGCCACCAGCTGCGTCTTACAATGCGCCCAGGTGCACCAAGCAGGTACGTTTTCACGACAGCTTGGATGGGTCTTCGTTGGCCCATGCCATCCAAGTGTCCATGGGCCCCCTGCTGCAAAACGAAAACACTAAAAGCAAGAACAATCCAAAAGGATCCCTGTGATTCCAAGGGTTACACAGACACACACTTTGACATTGGGTTTTCAGTTAATTCAATTCCCAGGTCAAAAGGACTGAGGGAAACGCAAGGTGAAAGGGTCAGCACATTTGAAATGTTGAACAATTGTTGCAATCAGCGGTCAACTGACGCGCGGCAGGCTGCGGTGGCGCAGCGACACTTCAGCTGAAAGAGGGTTTAGGGGTCTATCGTGCAAGGACCATGAAACCAAGGAACAGCAGGAAGATTGGAGTGTTGGCGCGAAGCAGGTACAGGTGGATGATCAGTCCACCCATCCCTCGATACACCAGAGCTTCGTTGCGTCAGGTAGGTGTATGGACCCTGACGCCCCTGCTGGAAAAGTGGGGGAGTTGAAACTCTTAGAAACAGAGTGGGAAACACACCTGTGCGCGTGTACGTGTGCATACTGGAGAACCACGTTTTCGCATGCGTTTGCCTTGGGTGTTGTGCTTTGTGTTTTGTGTTTTGTCGTGTGTGTTTGAGTAGAATATAGACAATGAGTCATGGGAGGCCTGTTCTTCGAGGTAGAATTGGATGTGCCCACTAAGTATATCCAAAGCACCCCCATGATCTTCCGAACTTCCTGTGATCCTAAAAATCTCCACCTGTTGCAGCGCAGGAAACGGAAACGCCCCCCTTCGAGCACCGGCGGCGGCCAGGAGATGACATGCCGTGCACCGGCTGGGGTGGCAGCAAGTTCGGGAACCGTCCGCTGGAGCGAAACACGATGAAACAAGACTCGGCAGGGTCGTTTCGGTTTGGAAGTCGGGGAGGACAGGTGTGACCTCAAGATGTTGAAGTCGTTGACCCGTGCTGTTCCACTAATTTAGACATGCCGGACCTTTTGAGCACCGGAGCAGGATGGGGCTGCTATGGGTTTCTTAGGAGTTTCCTTAAATTTTTCGGTTCCTTGATGTTAATCAGCCTTGATATGCCAGCCCAAACATTTGAATCAAATTTGTAAACTCCTTGATGAACGACATCTGTTGACATTTGTTCGAAGATTACTGTCAACAACGCGAAAAGAGTGCGAGGACTCAGATACATAAATGGTGTATGCCTTGGACTTAGATCAGTGCCAAATTTCTTATTATATACTGTAACTGTAGTTCTCCCACTATGGTATTTTTTAGCCACCAAACCTTCGGTGAATGGACAAGTGGATGTAGAACCACACTGTGTCTTTGGGAGAGGCTCACCCAGGCCTGCCTTGGGTCACGTTGAGCGTGGGTTCATCGGTTGGTGTCCACCCATATGGTAAGTAGTTGTGATTGCGTCTGGGGAATCCCTTCATCGTAAGACACGCGTGATCCTCTTGGCTCCGAGGGATCCTTTTGGTTTCTTCTTAGAACGGATTTGGGTGAGAGTAGCGGCGAACTGTTTGAGGTGCCTCCCAGAAGTGTCCAAACAAATCAGAACAGTGGGTCAGGTTCTTGTACTGTGTCACACATGTTACGTTGATTGCCTTGAGTCGTCTTGGGCCCCAAGGAGGCCTCCCCATCTCGGTTATGGGACCCGACCTCCCCAAGGCTTGACGAAGGGCGCCCGTGCATGGGACGCTGTTCGTCCAGCAGCTTGGCTGGCCCCTGATCATGGCAGGGAAGTCAACAAATGAAGGGGGAGACAAGGTGGAGCAATGCTTTCTTTTGTGTGCGATGTGTGAAGATGGTAACTTGATCTGTATGTGTGTTAGTCAGAATTCGAACTGCATGTTCTGTGGGGCCTGCAGCGTGGAGTCCGTGGTAAGAGTGACTCGGCACGTTACACCGGATCCACCAGGAAGGAACAGATGGCCCCAGGCCTCTCATCAAGGTCAGCCAATCGAATCCATGTCAGCTTCGGATCCCAGCGAAGGATTCCGAAACGAGATGAAACGAGTGTTTTGCAGTCTGGGTGAGCCGGTTCAAGCCATGAACTTCGATCGGCTCTTTGCCCTGCAGGCCCGCTGTTTCACAGCCCTGCCCAACCAACCGTGTCGGGCCGATGTGCCGCGCTCAGGAGCATTTCCATCACAAACCAGATAATATGCTGGAGCCGATGTGCATCCCGGACGGCCAAACAGCCGATGTGCTGGGGTGTTGGGTCGTTGCTTCTTCCGGGCCCCCGGCGAGAAGCATTTGTTCACAAAAAGCTCCATGCTCACTTGTGCCCAGCATTGAGGTATGAGAGGTATGTATACATTATTTAGTGAGTTAGAATATAGATGTTACACTTAATTGCATAACGTACATTAGTGTTGGTTCAACATGTATATATGAGTACATATGTATGTCACAGTACATCATATCCTTGTTTCGTCCAAATTTCCTGGGTGGGTTGCAATGGCATGCAATCGCCAAGGACGTCGCCATTTGTTCGACTGTGCTTGAAGAGTTCCATGACGTTATTTTTGCAAGAGGGATGACTGCAAGATATTTCAAGGATGTTGCATGTCTCCCCCATGAATTGAAGGGGTCCGGTGGATGTGGGTTTGCTTATTCCGGAAGCTACGCCATCGTGCCCAGGCAAGGTGGGCCCTCAGACGGGATGGCTTTGCCCAAACGACGATTGCACGCCCTGTGACGCCTGGAGTTGTGCAATCCAGCAACATGCAATGTACACCCGGGAATATTAAAATAGAACCTGAAAATAGACCTTTTTGGAAGACTGTTTTCCTCTATAAATACCCCCTACCTTAACATTGCAATTGGCTTGGGACGATACGTCAGAAATTGCATTTTCCAATTTCATTTAAAAAGTGTCTACTTGGCTATCATCCAGGTGTGTCTAGCTGGGGGCCCGCTACATAATCTAATTGAAAAAACAACATCATAAGCTACTGTCGACCCCTTATCTACTTTTGATTATAGACTTTTGGCCGGACTCCATATATATATATATATTCTGGCTACTTGTAGATTCTTGACGTGACTGTAGGATTGACACCATGTTGGCCGTCTGTTTCATCCTCAAGTTCTTTTGTAGTTGGATCGGTGGGCATGGACCTCTCTCACGCTGCAATTGCTTTGGTGAGTGTGGTTTTGGGCTGGTGGATTCGAGGGCTTGGAGACCAGTGAGAAGATCCATTGCCCTGTGTGTGCCAGTGTAACTGCAAGGTCCAAAACGGTTCGCGCGACTCAGAGCTGTGGTTTCCATCAGCTGGGGTTTGGCTGGCTATCCTTTTAGGACTAGCAGGGATTCTGGCAAACGTTGCGTTAGCCTTCCGGGTGACTCTTACCAACAAGGGAGATCAGCAAGAGTTGTATTTTGTTTTCTCTCAGCAGAAGGGAAGTGGAAAATCCAAAGGCATCTTTGGCCCCACTCGGGGCATTCAGATCACCGGATAGATGGCTGTCAACGTGGGCGATGTGGTTTTTCTGGATTACGGAGAGGCCCCTCCATGTGTTCACAGTCGTTCGGTGTTGGCCGAAGTAGACTCTGCCACTCACGAGTGGGTGATTCTAACGCCCGACATGGACGTATACACAGAGCAGCTGCACGTTTCCAATGCTGATCTAGCGGCCTACCATCCTGCTCCTCCCGGTGGTGGCTTGCCCCCGGGTGTGCCGGCTGGGCACATCTATGGCTTTGCACCCATGAGTGCGGCTGCCTATGCAAGGCACATGGCAGCCGGAAGAGCTGAGGCAGCGCGTGAGCGCAGACGCCGTGGACTGGGGGCAGCTCCTGCTGCGCCGGTGGCTCCTCCAAACGATGAGGTCTGGGTTCTGTGTAGTCTGGTTGAGGGAAGGAAACTGGGCGAAGTTGTCACACCCCCGGTTGGTATGGCTACTTTGGGTGACCATGGAATCATGGAAATTGCTGATGACACTGGAGTGCGACATGTGTGTTTGATTATAAGAAAATCAAACGTGATGATCACGGCATTACATGTGAAAGCCTGGTTGGACTATGCCGAGTTGCGGAAGCTGCTGAAGGTGACGATCGATATGTTGCCGAAGATATCCGAACGATGGCTGTGAAATACTCTGCCAATGGGGACCGACTCAGGACCTTTAGGGATTCCGTAGGCGAGATGGTGTCCACGGAGCTTGAAGATTTCCCGTATGAACCAAGAACGTGCATGGAGTACCTTCGTGCAATCCAGTCAGTCAGCGAAAGCTGCCATGCGCAGCATCTTGCCTGGGTTGCCCAAAGTCGAGTGCCTGAGGGCTCCCGAGCGGTTTTTGAGGACGAGACTCTTGCCCAGATCCTTGACACTGCAATTTGTTACGATGCTCTCAATGTGACAAATCTGGCCTCTTTCGAACTTCTTGTGCGCAGGAGACAGTTGATTGCTGCTGCTCACAGCCACAACGCATCAGCTCCTTCGTACGATGGTGCCGACTACTACTTGGGGAATCGCTATCGTCAAGGGGGATCCATCGTGGTTCCATCCTTGACTGACCATGTCTCGAAGAAACTCCAAGAGGATTCAGCCATTTTGAAGGAACGCAGAAAGTTGGCCGAGGCGAAGGCTGGCACCAAGAATGCGCCTAAGGGATCCGGCAGAGGGTCCGGGGCGCAGGGGCAATAGTCTTGGGCATCGTTGGGAACCTCTGGATAGCAGCTGGGCTGGGGGCTCCTTTGAATTTTCTCTGGTTGCAATTTTGTTTTCACCATGCCGAAGTGGAAGGATACCCGCATTTTTCATGTACCTGGGGATGGGGACGATCGGAAACGTGATGTTTTTCCTCTTCCTCGGTTGCGTGAAGAGCCACTTCGCCAGACAGGTCTGAGTAGAACAACTGCTCGGCGTGTTCATGAGAGACAGGCGGTGACCCGCCGTGTCAACTTGGCCATTCAGAGTTTGAATTCAATGTTTTTCGGCACAAAGAGGGTTGGAGGTTCAGAGATGGTTGATAGTTTGACGCATCTGCCTCTGGTACAGCGTGATTGCATGAAGCATGTCATCAAGAGGGTGAAGCAGCTGGGCCCTCCGCCGAGTGATGCACGATGTCAGGGAGCCTTTGCAGCGCTCCGGACAGCTGGGAGCTCCTACATGGATTTTTCTCCTGGTGTTGGCGATGTTGTCGGAATGAAGCTGAATGAGTTATCTCTTCCCTCAGGGAAGATAGCTGGAGTAAGCCTTTCTGATAACCTTGATGGTCCTGTCAAGCGGATGGTGGACCACTTTGAGGATTACATGTTGCAAGATGCTACGGTTTGGACTGACCTAGAAGCAGTGGCCTCTTCACTGCAGCCTTACACTGACCCTCTTCTGAAAAATAAGAAGCAGTACCTTTCTTTTGCGCAGCAATTGCGTAAGTGTGGGGTCCTCTCCTTTACCAAATGCTGTAGGGGCCGTGTTGGGGCTTTCAGTGTGGCAAAGAAACCCAAGGTTTTAAATGGCAAATCTGTAAACCGTCAAAGGCTTGTTTTAGACTGCCGGGCTGTGAACTTGCAATTCAAAGACCCTCCTCGCACTGAGCTGGGGTCTCTGTCAAGCTTAGCAGAGCTGCACATTCCGGAGGGGCAGACGCTCTATGTTTCGACTAGCGACATTCGAGATTGCTTCTACGCATGCGACCTGCCGTCAGGTATGGAGCAGTTTTTCTGTCTTCATGAAGATCTGCGGTGGGAAGAGGCGAGAAGCATTGTTGGGGATGTGGGCGCACATCTACTCCCTGGTGGTCCCGGTGAGTTCATATGCCCCTGCATTAAGGTCCTGCCCATGGGGTTCAATTGGTCCTTCTATCTAACACAGGTTCTGCATGAGCAAGCAGCTATGGGGGCTCTGGATATCAAGCGTGATGGAGTGTTTTTGGAAGCTCATCCTCCTCCTTCTCTTTCTGAGTTCAGTTGTGCCACAATGCCTTATTGCGACAACGTACATGTACTTAGTTTTTCCTCAAAACTATGTCAAGAGGAAAAGGACTCAGTTTGTGCTCGGTTGGAAAGGATGGGTTTCGAGCTGCACGAGCACACGGACGCCAGCTCTGTGACTGCAACTTTGGGAGGCACTATTGATGGGCATTTGGGATTGGTGAAGTGTAGCAGCAATCGCATTTGGTCTCTCATTTATGCTTTCGAGTACATTTGCAACCACAGGGTTTCGGTTGAGCTGGTGCAAAGGCTACTAGGACACTCAATGTTTGTTTGCGTCCTACAACGGAGTGGTATGGCAGTTTTTCGAAGGTTATACGACATGGTACAAAGCAAATGCAAGCCTCGGTATTTAACAGTTGATGAAAAGCTTGAGTGCGAGATTTTCATTGGCATTCTTCCTTTGTTGGTGGCTGATCTTCGGATTCCTTGGTCGACGGTCGCCACGGCAACAGATGCCTCCCCTGAAGGCTGGGGCGTGTGTGAAACAGAACTGCTGGCCGACGATGCTTGCAGCTGCGGACGCTGGCAGGAGCGCTGGCGATATCGCAGGCTTGAGCCCGGGGAGTGGAAGCCGCGACAGCGGGCGCTGAAACGTTGTGTTTTCTCTGACCCCCTTACGGTTGGTGGTAACTTGGGAGAGTTGGATGATTTGGACAACTATGTGGTTGACTCTTCTTTTCCTGAGATCCCAGAGCACCTCCTTTCTCCGGCTCGATGGAAGACGGTTGGCATGGGAAAGTGGCGACACACAGATGAGCACATTACAATGAAGGAAGCACGTTGTCTGTTACTTGCTGTTAGGAGGCTTAGTAGAGCACAGCGACATCGACACAAGAGGCATTTGATTTTTGTGGACAACATGGCACTTTGTTTTTCACTGGGAAAAGGTCGATCTCAAAATTTTGGGATGTTCGTGTGCTTCAACAGATTGGTTCCATTTCACTTGTATGTGGTTTAGTACTTCGCGGTAGGTGGATCCCAAGTGAGAAAAACATCGCCGATGGTCCCTCCCGTGGCCAAATCGCTCCGGGTGCTTACTGCAAAGAATGTCAAGTCAAGCCCAGCAAAGCCAAACAACCGAGTTGCGAAGGGCAAGTACATGAGCCCTCGGAATGCAGTCGTCAGAACCTTGGCGGTGAAACAGATGAAAGACGAGCCTTTGAAGAAACCAAAGCCGAAGTCCACGCAGAGGACTGTGGCACCAGACATGATAGTGCAGCCTCCAGCCAAGAGGTCTCGGAGGTCAGTGACAAGCTTGCCAGCGATTTGCCCAGACCGGGTTGGGAAGTTGGCCCGAAGTCAGCAGCTCTCAGTGCTGGAAAGGAAGAGTGTGAGCGTGGAGGTTCAGTATCAGTACCAGAAATACTTTCAACTCTTCGTGGACTTTTGCAAGGAGTGCGGAGAAGCTTGGCCACCCAGCTTGGACAGTTTGGATCCGCTGCTAGCCGACTACATGGATCTCATGTACCTTCAGGGAAGGGGAGCGCACGAAGGGGAGAAGACCCTCGCATCAATAGAGTTCAACTTCATGGCAGCAAAAGGAAAACTAGTGAGATCGCGAAGGGCACTCAAGGGGTGGCGGAAAGTGGTTCCTGCTTTGAGCCGCCTGCCTCTTCCAAAGGTTGCTATGTACGGGATAGTGATGAATCTCCTGGCTGCAGGACGTCAAGACATGGCGTTGTTGACGTTGGTGGCTTTCTTCCTGTACTTGAGACCCGGGGAGGCGATAGAGATCAAGGGAGACAACGTGATCGC